CAACCCCAGGAGCTCATATACTCTGTCATCCCTGTTACTGTCCACTGTATTGTCAGCACCCCAAGCCGTTCTCCAGTGCTTGTCCATCAGCTAAGTCTAGTCAGCCTATCTACAGTCCTTTGTTTTAGGAAGATCATCTCTTCCTCATCTAGCAGCAATCAGTTGCCAACATTCCTTTAGATAAGATTGGGGTCTGCTGTTCATTTTCCCAGTTCTATGCTAGCTTACTGTCTGGGAGTCTCTTGTATCCAGATATTACTACAGGAATTAGGATAATGAAAAGGAACCAGGGAGGTAAAGGAAAAGAAAGAATCTGAAAGAAAACAGTAGGAAACAGGTGTTAATAAGGGAGATTTGCATAAAAATGGGGTTATTTTAAGGGGGGGAGGGAGGGTTTTACAAGGAATCTTGGGGATAAAGGGAAAGAAGGAGCTCAAGAGGTGGGACCATAGGAGAAGGGTATTATTAAGGGAGAAATGGGGGAAATGGGGACACTTTAAATGGGAAACCATGGTGGAAGGGTTAGACAATGCAAGAGATAATGCCTAGCTAATTAAAGAAAACCAGAGGGAACCATATTAGTCCAACAACCTACTGACAAGTTAGACATACAACTAGCTCAAGAAACATAATACTTGTCTAAGCAAGGTTTATCTGAGAACCTTTGGTCTTTTCCCAAGCTTTATCTACATAGCACATGGTAATTAAAAGTACCAGACTGGTAGAACTAACCTTATTGGAAGTTTAACAGCTTTACTTTGAGGCCTATAATAATTTGGTCAGAGGGACTTAAATGACAGTTTTTGTTCCTTGCCCTCCAAGGTCAACTAAGTTCCAGGGGACTACGGAGCAGCTCTCAAAATGTCCTGTAACTGTGGTGAGTCACCTGTCCTCTTGATCGAGGAGGCCATGGAGACCCCACCAGATGGGCTTGAACCAGTGTCCAGTCTACAAAGAGGAGGGTCAACACAGAGGAAACATTTTCTCCCTGCTTCCAAGCAAAGCCAGCCATGGTCGAGCAGGACCTTTGACTTATCTTCACATAGACGGAACTGGTAAAAGAAAGGAGCCAGGGGCTCCTCCCAAGCCCATGTGACCCCTGAATCTTTTGCCTGCATGTATATAAGTGCATCTGTGTCATGCAATTCCCATGGAGGCCAGAAGAGGGCATCGAATCCCCCTGGAATTGGAATTATGGGCAGTTGTTAGCCACCATGTGGGTGCTGGGAACTGAACCTGGGTTTTCTCCAAGAGCTGTCAGTTCTCTTAACCACTGAGCCATCTCTTCGGCCCCTCCAGTTAATTTTAATGGCTTATCAGGGATATTAGCATCTATAGATAGAACCAGCTGTCTGCATGGAAGGCAACTGCTAAGAGTAGATAGACAAGGCTGACAGAACTTACAGGTGACAAAAAAGTAATAATACTTTCAGAGAATTGTTTAATTATGTGGCAGAGCTCCTCAGTGTAGAAACTCCATTTTTAATGTTTTTGATTTATTTATTTTATTTATTTATTTATTGGTCTTTTTGAGACAGGGCCTCCTTGTAGCCCCAGCTGTCCTGGAACTCACTATGTAGACCAGGCTGGCCTCGAACCCACAAAGATCCACCTGCCTCTGGCTCCCAAGTGCTGGGATTAAAGGTGTGTGCCACCACACCCGGCTTTATTTATTTTTATTTTATGTGTATGAGTGTTTTGCCGGCATGTATATAATTGCACCACGTGCATGCAATGGCTACAAAGATCAGAAGAGGACATTGGATCCTCTAGAACTGGAGTTATGGATGGTTGTTAGCCACCATGTGGGTGCTGGGAACCAAACCATGGTCCTCCAGAAAAGCAGTCAGTGCTCTTAACCACTGAACCATCTCTCCAGCCCTAGAAACTTTGTTTTTAAACATTGATTTCTGCCAGAAATGGTAGCTGATGCCTGTAGTCCTAGCTCTTGGGAGGCAGAAGCAGGGAGATAGTGAGTTTGAAGTCAGACTGAATTATACATTGAGGCCCCATCAAAGCATATTATTTGATTTCCATAGGAATCATTTGTGCAAACTGTGGAACGTCCATACAAAAGGTTGTTATATAATTATAAAATTATAATCAAAGAATAATCTTCACGATAAACTCATATAACAATACATACATTTAATATATACAGTATGATAGAGTCTGATGTGTGTATTCACCTGTGATACCATCGCCCAAATCAAAGTGTTAAACATAATAAGTACATCCAGGGCTAGAGAGATGGCTCATCGGTTAAGAGCACAGCTGCCTTTGTAGAGGACCCAGGTTCAAATCTCAGCACTCACATTGCAGCTAACAACCATCTGTAACTCCATTTCCAGGGTATATGACCTCCACAGACATTGCAAAAATTCATATACATTATATATACATATATATATATGTATATATTCCAGTGCTAGGGATCACTTTAGGGTTTCATGCAGGAACACTCATCACTGGGCTATATCCTCAGCCTACCTTGCATTATATCATTTTTATTTTTCAGGATAAGAATGCTTAATATAAGCTCTGCCCTCTTAAATTTTTGAGTA